CTGTCCTTGAAGTTGATTGGTCCACACCCGAGACAGCTTTCCTTCGAGCCTAGTCTCACATGGGTTGGACCAGATGACGCCAAAAGGCGCACAACTCAAAGACAATGCACCATCAGAGTATGAGAGCTCGGGGCAAGCATCTACACTATGGGAACCTCATTTGCCAGTAAAAATATGATAATTGGTTGTTTACCCTTCTATCTGGCAACAAAACTGACACCTTTTTTTTACAAGGAGTCATGTTTGCATAGACGGCAATACCTGCAGTCATAAATACAAACAAAAGACATAACTCTGATAATGTGCACTGTCCTTGAAGTTGATTGGTCCACACCCGAGACAGCTTTCCTTCGAGCCTAGTCTCACATGGGTTGGACCAGATGACGCCAAAAGGCGCACAACTCAAAGACAATGCACCATCAGAGTATGAGAGCTCGGGGCAAGCATCTACACTATGGGAACCTCATTTGCCAGTAAAAATATGATAATTGGTTGTTTACCCTTCTATCTGGCAACAAAACTGACACCTTTTTTTACAAGGAGTCATGTTTGCATAGACCGCAATACCTGCAGTCATAAATACAAACAAAAGACATAACTCTGATAATGTGCACTGTCCTTGAAGTTGATTGGTCCACACCCGAGACAGCTTTCCTTCGAGCCTAGTCTCACATGGGTTGGACCAGATGACGCCAAAAGGCGCACAACTCAAAGACAATGCACCATCAGAGTATGAGAGCTCGGGGCAAGCATCTACACTATGGGAACCTCATTTGCCAGTAAAAATATGATAATTGGTTGTTTACCCTTCTATCTGGCAACAAAACTGACACCTTTTTTTTACAAGGAGTCATGTTTGCATAGACTGCAATACCTGCAGTCATAAATACAAACAAAAGACATAACTCTGATAATGTGCACTGTCCTTGAAGTTGATTGGTCCACACCCGAGACAGCTTTCCTTCGAGCCTAGTCTCACATGGGTTGGACCAGATGACGCCAAAGGCGCACAACTCAAAGACAATGCACCATCAGAGTATGAGAGCTCGGGGCAAGCATCTACACTATGGGAACCTCATTTGCCAGTAAAAATATGATAATTGGTTGTTTACCCTTCTATCTGGCAACAAAACTGACACCTTTTTTTTACAAGGAGTCATGTTTGCATAGACTGCAATACCTGCAGTCATAAATACAAACAAAAGACATAACTCTGATAATGTGCACTGTCCTTGAAGTTGATTGGTCCACACCCGAGACAGCTTTCCTTCGAGCCTAGTCTCACATGGGTTGGACCAGATGACGCCAAAGGCGCACAACTCAAAGACAATGCACCATCAGAGTATGAGAGCTCGGGGCAAGCATCTACACTATGGGAACCTCATTTGCCAGTAAAAATATGATAATTGGTTGTTTACCCTTCTATCTGGCAACAAAACTGACACCTTTTTTTACAAGGAGTCATGTTTGCATAGACCGCAATACCTTGTTACTGGCAAATCAGGTTCCCATAGTGTAGATGCTTGCCCCGAGCTCTCATACTCTGATGGTGCATTGTCTTTGAGTTGTGCGCCTTTTGGCGTCATCTGGTCCAACCCATGTGAGACTAGGCTCGAAGGAAAGCTGTCTCGGGTGTGGACCAATCAACTTCAAGGACAGTGCACATTATCAGAGTTATGTCTTTTGTTTGTATTTATGACTGCAGGTATTGCGGTCTATGCAAACATGACTCCTTGTAAAAAAAAAAAGGTGTCAGTTTTGTTGCCAGATAGAAGGGTAAACAACCAATTATCATATTTTTACTGGCAAATGAGGTTCCCATAGTGTAGATGCTTGCCCCGAGCTCTCATACTCTGATGGTGCATTGTCCTTGAGTTGTGCGCCTTTTGGCGTCATCTGGTCCAACCCATATGAGACTAGGCTCGAAGGAAAGCTGTCTCGGGTGTGGACCAATCAACTTCAAGGACAGTGCACATTATCAGAGTTATGTCTTTTGTTTGTATTTATGACTGCAGGTATTGCGGTCTATGCAAACATGACTCCTTGTAAAAAAAAAGGTGTCAGTTTTGTTGCCAGATAGAAGGGTAAACAACCAATTATCAGTAACATGGGTGGTTATGAGGGAGAGATTAATGGGTGGGGATGAACCTAGGAGGGAACAATAAGTGATTTGAAGTTTTCGTGACTGCAGGCATCCATACTCTTTGGTTCTTTCGGTAAAGTCACGTAGGTATAAAATAAAGTAAATTAAATCACGACGTTTCTGGCGCAACACAAGCGTCCGTCATCAGGTGGGACAACCACAGCAAGAAACAATTGCTGAAGTGGCGTTCCACACGCGTCTTTATTTCACCCACTTCAACAATTGTTTCTTGCTGTGGTTGTCCCACCTGATGATGAATGCTTGTGTTGCGCCCGAAACTTCGTGATTTAATTTATTTTATTCTATACCTACGTGACTTTACCGAAAGAACCAAAGAGTAGCAATAAGTGAGTTTTTGAGTGAGGAGCGGAAACATCTGAGTAGGCGGAGGTGACTGCTTTAATGTGTGGAGGGGGATTTTGTTTCCAGTGAAGAGAAGAAGATGGAAAGCATGTATTAAATACAAGGAGAAAAGGTGCAAAAGATGCATCGTGGGATGAAAAATTAAAGCTGGATGTGGATGAAGAACGGAGCTGTGGATGGAGGGAGCTGTGGATGAAAGAGGGAAATGTGGATGAAGAATGGAGCTGTTGATGAATATGGGAGCTGGGGAAGGAGGGAGCTTTGGACGAAAGAGAGAGCTGTGGATTAAAGGAGGGACCTACGGATGAAAAAGGGAGCTGTGGACGAAGAAGGGAGCTGTGGATGAAGAAGGGAGATGTGGATGAATGGGGGAGCTGAAGGACTTGTCGAATTTTTGCTGGGGAGGAGGGGGGGAAACCAGGCCGAACCACGGTGGCGTTCCCCACGCGTCTTTATTTCATGGTCATCATCATCAGCTCCTGCATTGAATAACTGAAGGGCACGCAGAGACTCGGATCATCGAGTCACTCCGTTGAAGACCGCGATCGCTCCATTTGGAAAGAGGAGGGGGGTGGTTTAGGGGGCGAGGAGGGAGAGGGGAAAGCGGGAAAGCGATGGGTTACAATCCAGAGGAGCTGGCCGTTGTATTCCCGCATTGCGAGTCCGAAGTTTAGCTGGCGGTCAATCGTAAACAAGACAGCGGATTTGGACAGTGCACAGGGACAACAAAGCGGACTAATTGCACAGGGACAGCTGCTTTTGGGGGTGTCCCTAGGCTGTAGGTCCACACAGCAACAATCATAGCACTACTACTGGCAGTAGATGAACGAACAGGGATCTCTGCCACTGGGATTACCCCTAGGCTATAGGGCCAACTATTAGCAATCATCGCCCTCTTACTTCCAGCGGACTAATGCACAGGGACAGCTGCCACTGGGAGTGCCCCTGAGCTATAGGACCACACAGCAACATCACCCACCTACTGGCGGTAGACTAATGCACAGGGGCAGCTGCCCCTCGGGGTGTCGACTAGGCGAAAAAAAACGTGCTATGTATGTACACATGGGAAAAACTTGAGCTTTTAGGAATTAGTTTGATCTACGCATCCACACTGTAGCCTCCCGCTAGAGACCCACAGACTCTACGCACAGAGACCCATGGTAGTCATCATACAGAGACCCACAGACTAAACCTAGACATCCATAGACTAAATGCAGAGACCCGTAGACCCACGCATAAACCCATATGCTCACACACTCTATGGCTGTCTGTATACGTCATTGGTTATTAGGCTTAGAATATTAGTTTAATACGCTCAGTGTGATGAGTCTGTGGGTCTTTGTGTGGTGAGTCTGTGGGTCTCTGTGTGGGGAGTGTGTGGGTCTCCATGTGATTAGTCTCTGGGTCTCTGTGTAGTGAGTCTGTGGGATTCCGTGTGGTGAGTCTGTGGGTCTTTGTGGAGTGAGTCTGTGGGTATCTGTGTGATGAGTCTGTGGGTCTCTGTGCGGTGAGTTTATGCGTCTGTGTGGTTAGTTTGTGGGTCTCTGTGTTGTGAGTCTGTGGGTATCTGTGTGGTGAGTCTGTGGGTCTCCATGTGATTAATCTCCGTGTGGTTAATCTGTGGGATTCTGTGGTGAGTCTGTGGGTCTCTGTGGAGTGAGTATGTGGGTATCTCTGTGGTGATTATATGGGTCTCTGTGTCGTGAGTCTGTGGGTCGCTGATCCAGTTGCCTTCAACCAATGGCACAGGTTGCATGCAACTTTGTTCGATTCTCTTTTACAAAGTGTACCCATGTAGAAGTCTACATGCACGTTTACAGAATGCACCCATGTACAAGTATACGTGCACGTTTACAGAGTGCACCCATGTACAAGTATAAGTGCACTTGTACAGAGTGCACCTATGTAGAAATCTACAAGTGCATTTACAGTGCACCCATGTAATATAAGCATACATACACATTTACAGAGTGCACCCATGTAAAAGTCTACATGCACATTTTCAGAGTGCACCAATGTACCACGTACAAGTATAGTGCACGTTTATACAGTGCATCCATGTAGACGTCTTCATGCACGTTTACAGAGTGCACCCATGTACTAGTATACGCGCACATTTCCAAAGTACACCCGTAAAAATCCGCCTACTTGGTCACGTGGTTTGCGTGAGCAAGCGACCTGAATTTTTGTTGTTCATTCCCCCCCCCCCCGAAGACCATAAAAAACAATTAACTAATTATCTGAGCTCCCCCGGGGAGATTTGTTCAATTCACGCAGTAACATTGGGGCCACCAGCTCCGCCCATTCAACGGCTAGCCCTTGCTCAGTCAATCGTTAAGCCCGCCAACTCGACCACTAGCCCCGCCCACTCAGCCACGAGCCCTGCCCACTGGACCACGAATTGATTAGCCCCACCCACTAGCAAGGTAGCTTTGTGACGTTACTCACCCATTCACCCAAACCACTCCCCAATCCCTCCCCTCGTACCATTGCCCCCCCCCCTCCCCCCAGTAGGATGCTCAGCTAAGCTATATCTACTGCTACACGGGACAAATTCCCCCCTCCCATTGCGAGAATAAATATCCGAGCGCGCGTACGGACGTACGTGTGTATATATATAGCAACCACAACGGTGAAGCTGGCGATCAGAAGCAATCGATAAATAGGTCAATAAATAGGTCGATAGGTCAGCGATGCAAAAACGTCAACAACAAAAACCGGATGGAGTTTGCCGGTCTCTGTCCAATCACTGTCCACCTCACACACAGATTAGTTCTTATTCACATGCATGTAAACTCACACACAGACACACGTATTTGCACACACGTGTTCATACGCAAAAAAAGATACCATGTAGCCTTCAAAAGGCTTGTTGGGGCAAGTGCCCCTATAATGGTGTGACCAGAAATCACGCCTCAGCCGCCTTTGTCTCTCCCCCACAGTGCTGATGTTTTTTTATGGCTGAGCCGACCTAGGGGAGGCCCAGGGGATCCCAACTTCAAATATTCGCTGTCCCTTGATGATGTAGGGCCATGAGTGGGAATTGAACTTGGGCCTTGGGTTGACGCAACGCAGCACGCCAATCGCTGCGCCACTACTCCCCACGCACATAAATACACACACACTCTCACTCAAACGAATAGGACAACAAAGACAAAGATCCCCCCGTGTAGCCTGTAACAGACCGTTGGGGGCAAGTGCTGTTCACAAGCAGCACCCACGAAGGCCGGCAGAGCACGCGAAGAGGATGGGTGGCCAACGCCACACCCGGCCGCTCTTGTCTCCCCCCGTGGCGATGTTTACTTACACACCACCGCACCAGGTTACTCATTTGAGGCTGAGTCAACCTAAGGCCGGTTGTTCAGATAATCGTCACTACCGTTGTTGGTGGTGGCCGTGAGCGGGGATGGAACTCGAACTCTGGTGTCGCAGGTGCGCAGCAGTGCGCTAACTGCTGTGCCACTGCTCCCCACACATTTAATAGACACACGCACAAACGTAAACGCAACACGAATTATACATTAACCAGAGCTGTGCATAACCAACACACACTTTGTGCAAAAATATCAGGCCAACCCTTTTACAAGGTAACCTGAAGCAATAAATAAGTAAATATACAATACATAAATAACAATAAATATTGATAAGGTTCAGTGCCTTGAGTTCGAGACCGGGTGTCAGGATCAGTGACTTGAAGCCAGGCCTCGACATCATTGACTTGCGACCTCAATGCCTAGGATTTGAGACCAGGAAACCTGAGGATAAGTGACTTGAAGCCAGGCCTCAACATCATTGACTTAAGAACTGAGTATCTAGGATTTGAGACCAGGAAACATCAGGATCAGTGACTTGAAGCCAGGCCTCAACATCATTCACTTTGAGACCTCAATGTCTAGCATTTGAGACCAGGAAACCTCAGGGTCAGTGACTTGAATCCAGGCCTCAACATCATTGACTTTGAGACCTCAATGTCTAGGATTTGAGACCAGGAAACCTCAGGATCAGTGACTTGAAACCATGCCTCAACATCATTGATTTGGGACCTAAATGTCTAGGATTTGAGACCAGGACTGGTTTCACTTGGGCCAGGTCTCCTGGCTACTGAGTGAAGATTCCACCCCGCCAACCAGCCCATCCCCTCCCACCGTGTAACGACGCTTCCACTGTAACAGACCACCCACTCACTTGTTCGCTACTGCCCCCCCCCCCACCACAACCTCTAGGGGAGTGGACAATGCACAGCAGCCTCCTTCCCTCCATCTCTCCCCCCCTCACTCACCACCTTCTGGGGGAGCAGCCAATGCATAGCAGCCTTCTCCCCTCCATGTCTCCTCCCACACCACCCCACCGGCCATCGTGAACCTCTCTTCCTCAACGGTGCAACCGCTCGTTCCCAGGCCGGGGCTGAGCCTCGCCGGCAGTGGCACTGCCCTCTGACTCCCAGCTCCAGCTCCGGCTGCTCCTTCTGGCTCCGGCTCGGGTCTTTCCTCTGCCACCACTGCCACCACCGCTGCCACCGACACCGCCGGCCAGGCTTCCGCTCCTACTGCGTGTTCCGGTTGCTCCAGACCGAGACCCTCGCCTGCTGCTGCGGCTCCGGCTCCGACTTGGGCCGGGGCTTGCGCTGGGGCTGGGGCTCGATCCAGCCCGGGTTTTGCGTCCTCGGCCCTCTCCTGACCCAGGGTGTCGTTTTGTTTTGGCCGCTCCGGGTCGGCGCTTCCTGGCTCCAGCCCGGGTTTTCCCAACCCCTCCGTCGCTCCCACCGCTCCGGCTCCTTGGCCGGCTCCAGCTCCGGCCACCTATTCCACTCCCACTGCTGTTGTAGGACTCCCGGCTGCTGGTCCGGATCCGGCTCCGGCTCCGGTCGTGGCTCCGGCTCCATGACTTCGTCGTTCCGCTCCACTCGCTTCTCGACGTCAGGCTGCTCCTCCTCCTCCTGCTGCTGATACTGCTGCCCCTACTACTGCCCCTGCTGCTCCCCCTGCTGCTGCTACCGCTGCTTCCACCCCTACTGCTGCTATGCTCTCCTCGGTGGCGGTGGCGGCGTTGCCGGGTTTTGCGGCGGGTGTTCCGTGCCGGGGTTTGGCTGCTTCTGCCGCTGCGGTTGCCACGGCTGCCGCTGCTGCCGCTGCTGCTGTTCCTGCTGCGGTTGCCGTGCCGACCACTCCTCCGTGACGAGGTTGAGGAAGAGGGAGATGAGGAGGAGGACGAAGAGGAGGATGAGGAGGTGCTGGGAGGACTTGGGCGGTAGTAGGGAACCGGTCGCTTGCGGGCACTGGTTCAAGCGGGAACGAACAGAGAAGGGGTGAGTGAGTGTGAATGTTTGTGAGTGTGTGTGTGAGTGAGTGGGTGGGTAAGTGTGTGGGTGTGTGAGGGAGTTGGTGGGTGAATGGGGGGGGGGGGTGAGTGTTCGACAAAAAACACCCCCTTTCTTCTTAGTGGTGCCGGATGGTAACACTGGTGAGCAATGCCAGGGGTGAGGGGAAGGCCAATTCCAATTGGCTATACCCCTCATGGCACTCATAGCCACCACAGCGGCCATTGGGAGCTCTGGACAGGTGCAAGGGGTTACTAACCCTTCCGCTTATCAATTTAACCACCGTGAAGACACGTGCAAAAAAAATCGAACTAAGTTTGTGCCGGAAGCCCCAGGTGGACAGGCGTCTATGTTGTCTGCTGGCCAAACCTCATTTGGCGGAGCCAGGAGACTGGACCCGGCACCCTCGGGGTACCTCCACAAACGGCAAAAACCACTGGGGAGTAGCCACGTGGAATGTTCGAACCCTCACTGCGGAGGTTATGCTGCCACTCCTCTATCGGTAGCTGGACCGGTAGCACCTGGATCTCTGTGGCATTCAGGTGGTCTGGTGGACTGGATCTGGCTCCAATCACCATGAGGGGTGGACAGTCCTCGACTCTGATCTGGAGACTGCTAAGAAACAGGGAGTGGTTTATCCTTCTGAACAAAATAATGAAGTGAGTGTGGGAGACTGGTGATAAGGTATAGGAAGCTGTAAGCCCAAGGCTACTGTGGGTTTGCCTCCTCATCAACCAGAGGTGACGAGTCGTAGTTGTGGTTACTTATGGCACCACGCAAGATGAACATCAGAGGAGTTCAGTAGGCAAGGCTTATGAGTCAGACGCTAGCTAAAGCGCCCCCTCGTGATAGAATAATCCTGTTGGGTGACTTTAATGCCAGAGTGGGTCATGACGCTAGCAATTGGACTCGAGTGATTTGGAGACATGGGCCAGATCAGCTCATAATAACGGTAGGGCTTGTAATTACCAACACGCTGTTCTGGCATCGGTGCATCCATACAACATCATGGATGCATGCTGGGTCCAAGCAAGAACATCTGTTGGACTATATAGTGACAGAACATTGGATGAAGACTCATGTCATTGACACCAGGACCTACCGTAGAGCTGATCTTCCCACTGACCATCGATTTGTCATCTGTAAGATGTGTCTGCCATTCTTCCACTCCAGTTGTGGGTGTCCATCTCAATTGGTCAACCATGTTATGTATGTTGATGATCTGGTGATTGCTGCTCTCTCAAAGAAGGAGTTGGAGGTGCTGCTAAGACGCGGGCATTACCATCAGCCCCTCCAAAACTATGCTTGCGAAATGTAGACCACCTGAATGGAACATCTTCGCAGGTTATAATAATTTAGGCTGGCCTGTCTGCGATCTATCCTGGGTTTAACCTGGCTGGATTGTGTGAGGAGCTCACAAATCTTTGAAAGATCTGGGCACAGTACCATCAGCGAGCTCCTCTGGCATGGAAGGCTGCGTTGGCTGGGTCATATAGCCTGCATGCCCAGCCACCACATACTCAAACAGCTTTTGTCCACCCTGATAGAGGGGGCTAGGGCATGACACGGGCTATAGAAGAGATGGAGTGATGTGGAAAGAGAGGATATGGAGCTGAGTGGACTTGCCAATAACTAGTATCAGCAGTGTCAAGATCGGCCTCTGTTAGAGGAGGCCCGTTAAGGATGCTACTGGAGAGTTGGAGACAGTCACCCTCCAGCAATAACGGAAGGCAGAGGAGCAATGCTCACAACAATAATCGGGCAGCTAAAAAACAGCAAGTTGGTATAATAAAGGGTACATCTGGTGCATCTGCCAGTCATCTCAGTTAGTCAACCATGGTACCTGCAGGGCCTGTCCTGTAACCTCCTGTCAGCGAACCTTTGACACTTCAGCTGGCCTCAAGGTGCACCTGACCTGGCACAAAAGCCTTGGTGACGTCACCGTCACTTAGCGGCAAATGGCGTATATTGGTATTGATGTAGTAGTGTAGCATACAGTAGTGTAGTTTATAGTAGTGTATAGTGCATAGTAGTGTATATGAGTGTAGTGTATAGTAGTGTAGTGGATAGTGTATCCTATACACTAACTAAGCGACATGTCTCGAACCATGTTTGTGAATATTAGGCAGATCTGAAACACTGTAGGACCAATACCTCGGCAGTGGCTGATCATTGTTTTAATGCGGTGGGCTCACACGAAATTGAGTTGCAAACCCACTGGCTATCAACAAAGATCCGATCATGAAGCCATCCATATATACAGACACAGACACAATTTCAACTGAGAAGTTAGATACAAACTTAACATTCATTGGAAGGCTGTGATGTTCCCTTCCTGCCACCTTCCAATGTATCTTTTTTTCTTTTTCCCCGTGGCTTCGGCTCTCCAATTTCACATTAACATTTAGAATTTCTCGCGCCAATGTGGCCACCTATGGATGCCGACCTCTACGTCGCGGTGGCTCTGCGATCTTACATTAACATGCTAATCTCTCACATTAACATAGCCACACGCGCACTCGTCGCGGATGCCGTTCTCCGATCTTACATTAACATGCACATTTTTCATATTAACATCACTAGCCCTGCCCAGTTCGTTTATGACCCTAGAACTACACCCTATAAAAGTCTGCATTGAGCAGCTTTCCTCCTCTTTCCTCCTGATGACGATCGCTTGTGTTGTGATCGAAAAGTCGTAGTTTATTGTTATTTTCTTTGAACCATCTATGTGACTTTACCAAAAGACCCAAAGAATATGTATAGTGTAGTGTAAAAAGTGTTTAGTAGTGTACTGTAGAGCATAGTGTATAGTAGTGTAGTCTATAGTTTTTAGTAGTGTCGTGTATAGCGTTTTGTAGTGTAGTATATAGTTAGTGTATAGTCGTGTAGTATATAGTGTAGTGTACAGTGTAGTGTATGGTAGTGTATAGTGTAGTGTATAGTAGTAGTATTTTTGTGTAGTGCATAGTGCAGTGTGTAGTAGTGTAGTGTATAGTGTAGCGAGCTGCACCTGGTGATCCTGCGGGGCTCCAGGTGGCTGGGGGAGTCTCTGCGCCGCTTGCGGAGTGGTGAGAAGCTGCCTCCCCTCCTCTGGCGCCGGTGGCGCTCCCCGCCCGGCTGTGGCGGTGGCGGCGGTGGCTGCTGCTGTCGTTCGCGGTCACCACCTAGCTGCCTGGGGTGGGGTGGGGGGAGGTTACACGGGGGGAGGGGGGGTTGTCACATGGGGGCGGTTACATGGAGAGTCACACGAGGGCGGTCACACGTGGCGGGGCGTCACACGTGGAGGGGGGGGGTGGTCGCATGGAGGGGTTAAGGGGTCAGGGGTAGAGGGGGTCAGAGGGGGGAGGGGGTCAGAGGGCAGGGAGTGAGAGGGGGGCAGGGGGTCAGAGAGGTGTCAGGGTACCTATTATAGGGTCCCCCTGCGCGAGGGGCTGGGTCCCGTCGCGTTGAACTCCGTCGGCCGGGGGAGGAGGGCGACCTGTGGGACCAGGAGGGGAGAGGACATTAGATGCAGAGGATTGCACCACCACCACCGGCGACGAAGATGCTCAGCCAACGTTGTGGACATGGCATGCGTGACACCACAGGCAATCGGGAAGTTCAAAACCAAGTTGATAGCTTAACGTGGCCTGAATTTAGAGAGGGGATTATAGGTTAGACGGAGGGGGGGGGATTTATGAAGAGGATTCGGGAGGTCAAAATACAAACATGGAAAGAACACACGGCAGGCAGGGGGAAACGGAGGGATGTGATCTTCTTAATGGAATTCATATAGCGCCTTAAATCAAGGCGCCTTACAATGAATTTACAATGTGTTGTGAATGCAATGGTGGAGATGAGGTGAACGCAAGAGACGAAAGGGGGGGGGGGGCGAATCTGTGACAATGATGCGTGACTGATGAAAGTAAATGATGATGGATCGAATGAATGATGACAGTAAATGATGATGAATGGATTGAATGAATGGGGTTAATGAGTAATATCTGTAAAATGAAATAAGCTATTCTGACAGTAAATGATAGTTTACAGGGTCACTATTGGCTGAAGCAAACTTTTTTTCACGAGCGGTTTGTTACCTGTGCCATTTGAACCGGTCTGGGTAAACAGACTCCTGCTGAATGAAAACGTTTGCTGGGTGGACAATCAGCACCCTTTGAGCTCGATTTGAGAATCGACACGTGGATGCGGTCAAGCGGCGGATGTCTTAATTTTGGCAGCCGTCGACACGAGTTGGTACCAGAGTATCTCGAGTTTTTCATTGGCTTCCAGGCCATTCAAATTCAGACAGCAGGCCAGGAGAGAATGGGTTGCCTTCCAAGTTAGAAACCGCCATATCGATTGTCGCTATTTTATTGGTGAAGAACGCCGCAAGTGCTCTGCACAGACTGCCGGGTTGACTAAGTTGATGGGGTGGTTGGAAGTGCAGCAGAACCCTTCATGACGTGCCAGAGAGCAGAGTGTAGAAATATCTGCCAGAATACTAAAAAACGAGTAGGTTGGCAGATCTGCAGGCAATGGCTCTGTAAGCGAGGAGTCTGACCCTCTCGAAACCAGTTTTCTTCCTAAAGACGCTCCCAGCCACCTCCTCTCTGTTTCTGCTTCGCAGCAATCGCCTCTGGTGACAGCTGGTTACTGTGGCATACTTTCCCTGTTCTCTTTGTGCACGTTGTTCGGGATGGGCACGAGTTCATCGAGAACAGCAGTCGAATCGACCGTCGAAGCAGGATTTAGACATGCTGATGACGACTGGAACCTCAGATAGAAAGCATCATGGGTCCAGTCGTTTCCAGTCTCTCTTCAGTCTCTCTGTACGATATCGTTGTGACAGGTGGGCGAATATTTGTAATGCTGCCTTGCACATCACGATAACTGTGATCCGAAAATACCCCATGTCATCGATAACAGCGTTGTTCAGAGTTACGGCATTTGGCGGATGTGAAAGATCCAGTATATTTCCCGAGGGACATGTCGCGCTGCTGACGTGCCATGTTAAACTGACTGTCGACAATCACACACGAGCATCACACCCACCCCCACCACCACACACACAAGCCCCACCACCACCGCCATCGTCACCAATGACTGATCAGAGAGTTCCCCGCACCTCGTTTTGCTGGCATTCGTCGCCGTGGGAGAGCGTGCCCGGCTTTGACTTCGGCTCCGGTTCCGACTCCGGCTCCGGGTTCGACTCCTACTCCGGTTTCGACTCCGGCTCCGGCTACGCGTGCGGCTCTCCCGCGATTCCCGCGCGATATTCCGCGCCGGGGGATATGAGCAGGAGCGAGAGCCGGAGCCTGATCGGGAGCCGGAGCTGAAGCGTGACCCGGAGCCGGATCGGGAGCCCGAGACAGAGCGGGAGCCACCAGGTCGGGAGGCTCGCTGAGATCCCCGATGAGACCCCCGTTGGGATCCCTGCTGGGAGCCCCGCTGAGAGCCCCGTTGTGACCCCCGCTGGGAGCCCCGCTGGGACCCCCGGTGGGATGCGCGGCGCCGCTTGCGACGGCTGCCCCTGCCCCGCGGGGGAGTTGAGCCCCGTGGCACAACCCTAAAGATAGCGGCACACGCATGCTACAGCATCACCAGTGGCACATGCAATACAGTGTCACCAGCGTCACACAACCCTAGAGACGGTGGCACACACACGCTACAGCATCACCAGCATCAAACGCACTACAGCATCACACGCACTACAGCATCAAACTCACTACATCGTCACACGAACTACAGCATCACCAGCGTTACACAACTCTAGACACAGCAGCACACACGCACTACAGCGTCACCAGCATCAAACGCTTTACAGCATTACACGCACTACAGCATCACATGTACCACAGCGTCAACAGCGTCACACAACCCTAGAAACAGGGGCACACACATGCTACAGCATCACCAGCGGCACATGCAATAAAGTGTCACCAGCGTCACACAACCCAAGGGACAGCGGCACACATGCACAGCGTCACACGCACTACAGCGTCACACTTGCAGCAGCATCACATGCACAGCGTCACACATGCTACAACATCACATGCACATCAGCGTTACATGCACTACAGCGTCACACGTGCTGCATCATTACCAGCATCACACGCACTAGAATGTCACACAAAGTCACAAACCTAGCGACATAGCCACATGCCACAGTGTCACACGTGCTACAGAGTCACACTCGCTATGGCGTTACAACCCTAGCAACATCATCACACGTGCTACAGCATCACACGCGCTACAGTGCCACACACTACATTGTAACACACACTACAGCATTACCAACGTCACCACTGCCACGTCACGGCGATCCTGTGTGGAAGATCGCAACACAGTGGTAACACTTGGGCCTCACAGCACGAACGGGCCTGGGTTACATTTCGGACACGGGCACCTTCCCGCGTCGAATTTGTGTGTTCTCCCCCTGTCCTATAGAATGTGAGTGTGTGTGTGATTGCAAGAGAATGTGTTTGTGTGTAACAAAAACAAACCCCCACCTACTCGGTTGTTGCCAGTCGGCAACGCTGTACAGGCTGTGAGCAATGCCATTGTGTGGGGAGGCCGATACCAATTGGTTATTTTGTATCATCGAATACTCCACCCTCTCAACTCCCTATTGGTGGGGCAGTTGTGGAGAGACTGGAGAAGTTTCTGGACCTGGGCAGTGTGCTTATGGCCAGATCCTGTTTGACAACAGAGGTCTCATTCCGAATCACGAGCGGCATTGTATTTTCATCAGCTGCGTAACGCTGTGTGGAAGCTACCTGGTCTGTCGCTACACATGAAGCTTTGGGTCTTCTCCACTACTATTATGCCCTCCATTCTCCATATTTACGAAAAGAGGAACCCTAATGGAACATCTTTGCTGGTTAAAATATTCAGGCTGGCCTGCCTACGATCTATCCTGAGTTTAACCAGCTTGGATTGTGTGAGCAGCTTACAAATCCTCGAAATATCTGGAAACAGTCTCATCGGTGAGCTCCCCTGGCAGGCAAGGCTGAGGTGGCTGGGTTATGTAGCCCGCTTGCCCATCTACCGCATGCCCACACAGATATTTTTCGGCCACATATAGGGGGCTAAACCGGGTGTGGCATGGGCTAGAGAAGAGATGGAATGATGTGGCACGAGAGGATGTAGAGCTGACTGGACGTGCCAATTACTGGTACCAGCGGTGTCAAGATCGGCCTCTGTGGAGGAGGCTCGTGTAGAACGCTACTGGGCAGTTGGAGGCAGTCACCCTCCAGCAACAACGGAGTGCTGGGCGACTAACACACAGAAAGTTGGCACAGTAGGGGGCATAGGTGGTGCATCTGACGGTCATCTCAGTCAGTCAACCCATGGCACCTAGGTCTGTCCCGTGACCTCCTGCCAGCAAGATTTCGACACTTCACGTGGCCTTAAAGTGTACATAACCTGGCACAAGCGCCGTGGTGATGTTATCGCCACTTAGTGGCAAATGGCGGTTGTTGTTGATTGGGAGTGAGTCTGGAGTTGAACCCAGGAATTTCTTGTTCTGCTGCTGATAATGATGCTGGTGATGATGCCGTCACTGATGATGATGACACTGATGCCACCCATGATGATGCCGCTGATAATGATTCCGTTGCTGCTGCTGATGATGCTGCTGATAATGACAATAATAATGATGATGTCCCCGATGATGCAGATGATGATGCCACCGATATTGACACTGATGATGGTGATGCTGCTGATGTTGACACTAATAATGATGATGCCGCTGATGGCGAAACTAATAGTGATGAAGTCCCTGATGATGATTCTGCTGATAATGAAATTACTCATGAAAACACCACTGATAATGATAATTCTGCTGATGATGGTGACGATGATGTCGCTGCTGATGACACTGATGATAATGGTCCTGATGACACGAATAAAGATGATTATGATGCTGCTGCCGCTGATGATGACACTGATGATGATTCCCCTGATAATGAAATTATGAATGAAAACATCACTGATGATGGTGATTCTGATGATGAAGCTGATGATGATGTCGCTGCTGATGACACTGATGACGATGATGCCGCTGATGACACTTCTAATGATAATGATTCGGATGACACGAATAATGATGATGATGCTGCCACTGATGACACTAACAATTAGAATGTTGCTGATGATGATGCTGATGACACTAATAATGATTACACCGCTGTTGCCAATAATGATGATGATGATGATCTCACCGGTTGCCAATCCCGGCCAGGGTCCCTCCACCTGCTGGGCTCACAGCGGCCGCGGGGTCCGAGGGGGCAGGGTCCGAGGGGTGGGGGTCCGGCCCCTCCCCTTCCTCACTCCCCTCACCCTCAGCCCCACCCCCCAGCGTCAACCCCCGCTGGTTCCCAACCACTCTCAATGGCTCCGGCTGGGACCCCTATGGGAGAAGGGGATTGGGGGGTAGGGAGGGGGGATGGGGGGGGGGGGATTTGGGGGAAGGGGGGGGAACACGGGCGAGTGGGGTGAGGAGTCAAGTTTTGACCTCTTGCAAGCTGGGGGTGGGGGGAGGGGGTGGGGGTCGAAGGTCGCGTCCACGATTGTCCGCCTGGGCCTCCCGGACAGACGGCACCCGCGCACAGATGCTGACACAGACGCTCATTCCCTTAGACACTCACTCGCTTAGACACTCACTTACACACTCACTCACTTTGACACTCACTCACTTAGATACTCCTTTGGACACTCAGACTTGCTTAGACACTCGCATACTTACTCACTTAGACACTCACTCACGGTGACGTTCACTCACTGAAACACTCACACACTCACTCACTGAGACACTCACTCGCTTAGACACTCATTCAGACGCTCACTTAGACACTCACTTAGACACTCACTCACTTAGGCACTCGCTTAGACATCTACTTAGACACTTACTTATACACTCGCCTACACTCCTACTCACTTTGACACTCACTCACTTAGACACTCACTTAGACACTGGCTTAGACACTTAGTTAGACACTTACTTAGACATTAACTTAGACACTCACTACCAGGGCATCCTTCCAATCCCTGTAGTCCAGAGAGTTGTGATGATGTCAAGTAGCGGAAATATGCACACAGACACCACCCTCCCTCCCTCAGTAGTTTCGCTTGGGTGATCATTTATCATCTCTGCCCAGCGCTTTTTCCTGGCCTCAGACTCACCGGATCGCCCCCTCGTACTTCCTCTACAGATGGTCCCTCAGCCAGCCACTCACAGGGTGTTGGCTATTTTCCCTAATATATGAGGCAAAGCAGCCCAGCAGGATCATCCCCCACAATGCTCCACGGTGCCAACTTAGCTGATGGATTTCCCCTCCCGCAAAACCCCACAATGCTCAGTAAACCTGCAGACCTATTCTTGGGGGGGTGGGGGGCGGGGTTGTAGATCGGATCACCATTCTTTCCCTTAAGGACGGCGACAGGCAAGGTGCTGCAAGCTACTTGATAGAGTTGAGTGATTATTTTAATCGCGAGCTACTGAGGCATTCTCCATCACAGCATTTGCCACCGTCACTCATTCTTGCTGCGCCACGCGGCTCGCCAAAGCGCTGAGCCTCCTTATTCTCCGATGTGGAATGCTTCATATGGCGTGGGAGTGGGCCTGCCACTTTCCCCAGGGGAGATCTGGACTGCGTACCCAATGTAGCCGTGGCAACTACAAAAGCCAAAGTCCTGAACGGCACCGCATATCCCACACCTCCGATGTGCATGGTTGGCTACATATGGAGGGAGGGACGTTGCCAAACCCAGCGCACAATTTGTACCACCACAGTGGAAGTCCTGAACCTCACCCATTCCCCCCCTCAACATCATGTGGTGTTAGTGGGGGGGAGTGCCAACCCGAGCTGCAAGCGATGTTTTTTATTTCTGCTTGCAAGAGCAGGCCACTGTGGGTTTGAATGGGGTTCTAGATGGACACCCACCACCGGAGTAGAAGAATAGCAGGCACATCTTACAGATGACAAGCCGATGATCAGTGGAGAGATCAGCTTCATAGGAGGTCTTGCTAACAAGGACATGGCCCCAACTTCGCTATTCTGTCACTAAGTAGTCCAGCAGTTATTCTTGCTTGGACCCAGCTTGCATCCATGATGTTGTGTGGATGCGCTGATGCTGAAAAAGCATGTTAGTGATTACAAGCCCATTTGCGGCACAGAGGCCTAGCAGCCTCCTACCTTGTTATTGAGTTGTTCTGGCCCATGCCTTCCAATCACTCCAGCCCAAATGCCAGCATCATGACCCACTCGGGCTTTAAAGTCATCCAATATGATGACTATCCCGAGGATCCACTTTAGCTAGCACCTGTGACAGGAGGTCATAGAAGGTAGATGACACATCGGCCTTGCCTGCATTCCTCCACTGATGTTCATCTTCAGTGGGGGCGTAAGCAACTACCACCAAAGTAGACTGAGACTGACAGCTTCTCACACCTCACCATTCATTCTTTTGTTCAGAAGAAGAGCCGCTCCCTGTTGTTTGGCAGTCTCCTGCCCCGAGTAGAGGACTGTCCACTCCTCATGGTGAGTGGAGCCAGAACCAGTCCACCGGACATCCTGTATTTTATGGAGATCCAGGTGGTACCGGTCCGGCTCCCGACAGAGGAGTGGTAGCCTCTCCCCTGCAGTGAGCGTTCGAACATTCCACGTGGCCACCCGCAGTGACTTTTTTGCCCTTTCTGGAGGCACCCCTGTGGATGCGGATTTAGTTTCCTGGCTCTGCCAAATGGGGTCATTGATGCCTGTCCCCCCAGGGCCTCTGGCACAACCAAACATTCCCACACACACGCATAGACACACATCCGCCATATAGCCTTAACAGACCGTTGGGGCAAGTGCCGTTAGCGAGCAATACCAATGAAGGCTGGCACAACACACGAGGAGCTGGGTGGCCAGCACCACGCCCAGCCACCTCTGTCTCTCCAGTGGCGATGTTCACACACCGCACCAGGTACTCATGTGAGGCTGAGTCTACCTAGGGGAGGCCCAGGATCGACCGGTTCAGATAATCATCACTGGTGTTGGCCGTGAGTGGGAATCGAACTCGGGTCACCGGGTTCATAGCACAGCGTGCTTGCTGCTTCACTACCGCTCCCCACATACACACGTACACACACATTCGCTCATTTTCCTACACACAGACTCAGAATCCCACACAAAGATCCCCATATACTCTTAACAGACTGTAGGGGCAAGTGCTGTTAGCGAGCACCTATGAAGGCTGGCACAGCACATGTGGGGATGGGTGGCCACCACTACGCCCGGCCGCCTTTGTCTCCCTAATGGCGATGTTTACACACCGCACCAGGTAGTAATTTGAGGCTGAGTCGACCTAGGGGAGGCCCAGAACCGGTTCAGATAATCGTCACTGGTTTTGGCCGTTAACGGGAATCGAACTCCGGTCGCCGCGTTCGTAGGGTAGCATAGCGCTAACCACTACACCACCGCTCCCCACCACAACCACCTCCACACTCACTCACATTCCCACACACACCTCCACAACCACCTCCACACACACACATCTCCCCCCACACACTCTCAGAATCCCGCCATCACCAACACAATAACAACCGCCATTCACCACTAAAGTGGCCGTAAAGTCACCATACAGTGCTAGTGCCAGGCTAGGTGCACCTTGAGGCCAAAGTGAATCACAAACGCACACACCCACACAGACGTGTGTGGTTTGCGATTGTGGTGGTTAGTGGGTCGAGTGGCCGAGGCTATAGTGTGTTTGCATCCGTGGTGGTGGTGGTGGCTGGTGGTTTTTTGTGATTGTGGTGCTTTGTGGGTTTAGTGGAGGGGCTGTGTGTGGTTCTGGTGGATGGTGGGTCTAGTGGCCAGGGCTGTGTGTGGTAGTGGTTGTGGTGGTTTGTGGCTCTAGTGGCTAGGGCTGTGTGTGGTTGTGATAGTTGGTGGGTCTAGTGGCTAGGGCTTTGTGTGGTTGTGGTGGTTTGTGGGTTTAGTGGCCGGGCTGTGTGTGGTTGTGGTGGCTATAGTTGTGGTTGTTGGTGGGTCTAGTGGTTGTGGTGGTTTGTGGCTTTAGTGGCCGGGGCTGTGTGTGGTTGTGGTGGCGGCTATGTGTGTTTGTGGTAATTGGTGATGGTTTGTAGGTTTCGTGGCCAGGGCTGTGTGTGTGTGTGTGTGTGCTTATTGTGGTTGTGGTCGTTGGTGGGTCTAGTGGCTCTGTGTGGTTGTGGTAGTTCCAGTGGCTGTGTGTGTGGTTGTCTTGTGGTGGTTGTTGTTGTGGTGGTGATCGTTGTGTGAAGGGAGCGGTTGATGCGGTTGGTGGTGGAGGGAGGGGGGAGCGGGGAAGGGGGGTGGAAGGGGAGGAGGGGGAGGGCGGTTAGGCAGCGCCTGGGCTGGTCCTGCACACAGGCCGCCACTTACCCACAATGCAGCATTCCCTCCTTTTTAAGGTGAGAGTGGAAAACAGGGAGTGGTGGGACAACAATTGGGGTGTTAGCGTCGCACACACACAGAGAACACGGCGGCGCGTTCCATACGACCACAACCCGGCCTAGGGGCACACCCAGTGGCAGCTATCCCTGTGTGTTAGTCCGCTACTAGTAGGAGGCGATGATTACTGCTGCTGCTGTGTGGTCTATGTGTAGATGTACTCCCAGTAGCAGCTGTCTCTGTGCATTCGTCTGCTGCCAGTAGTTGGCGATGATTACTGCTGCTGTGTGGTCTATGCGTAGAGGTACTCCCAGTGGCAGCTGTCCCTGTGCATTAGTCCGCTGCCAAAAGGGGGCGATGATTACTACTACTGTGTGGTCTATGCGTGAAGGCCCCCCCAGTGGCAGCTGTCCATGTGCATTAGTCCGTTACCAGTAGTGGGCAATGATTACTGCTGCTGCTGTGGTTTATGCGCAGAGATATTCCCAGTGGCAGCTGAGTTTAGCTCATTCGCCAACTCACCCACTCACCCACCCACCCGCACACCCACCCACCGACCCGCTCACTCGCCCAACTCACCTACCCACCTGCTCGCTCACCCGCTTGCTCACCCGCTACTTACACGCGGCGTGGCGAGCCGGCCATTGTGAGCCCGGCCCGGTGGGGCAGGGGCCACCGACGAGGTGGGGGCGGTGGCCACCACCGCCGTTGCCGCACCACTCTCCAATTGACCCGGCTGGTCATGTGACTCGCTCCGCGGCTGGTCAAGCGATCCAGCGGCATCTTCGCGCCTGGTTGAGGGGGTGGGGGGGATTGTAATGGGTAGTTGGTGAGTGGTTGTGTGAGAGGGCGGGTGGGTGAGTGAGCAGGTGGGTAGGTGAGCAGGTGGGTGGATGAGTGGGAGATTGGGTGAGTGGGTGGGTGGTTGATCGGTTGGGTGGGTGAGAGGTTGGGTGGGTAAGTGAGCAGGTGGGTGGGCGGGTGAGTGAGTAGCTGAACAGGTAGGTGGGTGGATGAATGGGTGGGTGAGCAGGAGGATATATAAGTGGGAGATTTGGTGGATGGGTGAGCGGTTGGGTGGGTGAGCCGGTGGGTTGGTGAGCTGCTGAACAGGTAGATGGGTGAGTGGGTGGGTGGATGAGTGGGTGGGTGGGTGGGACGAGCAGTTTAATGGGTAGGTGGGTGAGTGGGTGGATGGGTGAGGAGCAGATGGGTGGAGCAGATGGGTGGATAAGTGGGAGATTGGCTGGGTGGGAGGGTGAGCAGTTGGGTGGATGAACGGGTGGGTGAGCAGCTGAACGGGTAGGTGGGTGAGTGGATGGTTGAGCGAGTGGGCGCGTGAGCGGGTGGGGAGCGAATGGGTGGATGAGTGAGCGGGTGGGTGAGTGAGCGGGTGGGCGGGCTAGTGTGTGGGTGAGTGAGCAGGTGGGTGCCACTGACGGGTGCCCCTAGGCATAGACCACACTGCAGCAACCATTGTCCCCTACTGGCAGCTTAGATTATTTTGCTGCAATAAATGAACCTTATGGTGGCACCCCGGGGTCCCATAAGCCCCTGGCTCTCACATAAACTGCGTTGCGACGCAATTTTATGTCTGTTGAAGGCGAACGATACAGCAATCTATTCCTCTCTACACAATGCGCTAATCAAAGTTTCAAAGTTTTGTTTATACTGCGCATTCGTCCTCGCTGCGCTTGGACGACATGACAACAGAATTATTCACGCCAAGTGAGTCACAGCATTTATGTGCACAGTGGGACGGAGTCGCCACAAAAAAATAATTACGATTTTGATTTCTATTTATTCGGGACCCTGGGGTCCCGCCATGAGGTTCAAATGTCCATGAGATAATCTAAAATAGATTTGAAGCTTTCGTGACTGCAAGGATTCATACTCTTAGGTTTTTTCGGTAAAGTCACGTAGGTAAAAATAAATAATAAAACTTATAGAAATAATAATAGAAATAAAATAATAAATCACGACGTTTCGGAGGCAACACAAGTCTCCGTTATCAGGTGGGACCGTCACAGCTACATTTACTGTATCAAGTGAGGCAAAATTCCAAGAGACAAGCTCTTAAATACAAGTTAAGGGGGAGCGGGGGAGGGGCTTATCTGAATGTTGTAGTCAATGAATAGAACGTGTTGGGGGGGTGGGCGGGGTTAAAAGAGAACAATAGGTGCACTTGGGGTTGTAACTGGTGTTGGCTGACAATCCAAATACAAAAAAGGCAGTACCATTAAACGCTGGGGATGTCAACACTCGGTAAAGTAGAATAGTACCTGTCAAATAAGATGGTCCAAATATGCGTAGTTAAATCTTTTTTACATGGTTAATAACATCTTTCCAATGATTACTCAGTTTGTACCCATCGTCACGGTTGAAGTTAGGTCTGTGTTTGTATATCTAGATGGCTTCATGTACAAACCTTTAATGGTAGCCAGAAGGTTTGCAGAGCACCTTGGTCTCTGAAAAGACAATATCATGAGAGCCCACAGCGTTGTAGCAATGATCGGCAACGGCGGAAGACTCAATTTTGCCGTGTTTCAGATCTGACTTGTGCTCGCGGACACGATCAGAGACATGACGTTTCGTTTCGCCAAAGTAACAATCACCACAGCTGAAACTCAGTTTATAGACTCCAGGGTATTGCAAGTCAGGAATGAAATCTTTTACAGATGGGATTAGATCACGGATTTTATGTAATGTACTGAATCGGACTTGGATCTTATGTTTGTTTATAATTTTGGAGATCTTTTTGGTCACGCCTGCTATGTATGGCAACGTGATAGTTTTGATCGGAGTTTCAAGTGGTTGTTTCTGTATGGTGGGAGACACAGCTTGGCGAATAGTGTGGTCAGAGTATCCGTTCATCTTGAGGGCCCGATGTACATGTTTTAATTCACTGGCCAGGTGGTGTTGGTCAGAAATGCCATGAGCTCTATGATATAGTGTTTTGATGAGAGAATTATTTTGAGCCGCGTGGTGGTGGGAATCAGGTTTCAAGTAGGAATCTGTGTGGGTGGCTTTCCTGTAGACAGAATGTGCCAAGGATCCATCAGGCCTCCTCTCAAACAGAACATCTAAGAATGGTAGTTTGCCATCTTTCTCCACTTCCATGGTGAACCTGATGGATGGGTGTCTGGAATTGATGTGGTCCAGGAAATGGTTCAATGCTGGGAGGCCATGTGGCCAAATGACGAAAGTGTCATCCACATACCTCTTCCACAGAGAAGGACGCAGGGTGGACGTCTGGATGGCGTCTGATTCAAACTTTTCCATGAACACATTGGCTATCACTGGTGACAAGGGGGAGCCCATAGGGGTACCCTCATTCTGTTTGTAGAAGGTGCCATTCCAGGTAAAATAAGTATTGGTGAGGCAATGCCTAACCAGAGCAGGTACATACGAATTCAATCCATGTTGGACCAAGTCTTCAATTATTGTTAGGGTGTCAGGCACTGGGCCTTTGGTAAACAGAGATACCACATCAAAACTGACGAGTATATCATCAGGAGATAGTACAATGTCCTTAACCATAGAGACCAATTGGGTTGAGTTAGGTACTGCTGAAGAGGTCTTGCCAGTGAAGGGAAGCAGAGTATCTGATAGAAAACGGGCTAGTTTGTAGGTAGGAGAGTTGATCGTGGACACGATGGGCCGTAGTGTCCACCCTGCGTCCTTCTCTGTGGAAGAGGTATGTGGATGACACTTTCGTCATTTGGCCACATGGCCTCCCAGCATTGAACCATTTCCTGGACCACATCAATTCCAGACACCCATCCATCAGGTTCACCATGGAAGTGGAGAAAGATGGCAAACTACCATTCTTAAATGTTCTGTTTGAGAGGAGGCCTGATGGATCCTTGGCACATTCTGTCTACAGGAAAGCCACCCACACAGATTCCTACTTGAAACCTGATTCCCACCACCACCCGGCTCAAAATAATTATCTCATCAAAACACTATATCATAGAGCTCATGGCATTTCTGACCAACACCACCCGACCAGTGAATTAAAACATGCACATCAGGCCCTCAAGATGAACGGATACTCTGACCACACTATCCGCCAAGCTGTTTCTCCCACCATACAGAAACAACCACTTTAAACTCCGATCAAAACTATCACGTTGCCATACATAGCAGGCGTGACCAAAAATATCTCCAAAATTCGAAACAAACATAAGATCCAAGTCCGATTCAGTACAGTACATAAAATCCGTGATCTAATCCCATCTGTAAAATATGTCATTCATGACTTGTAATACCCTGGAGTCTATAAACTGAGTTGCAGCTGTGGTGATTGTTACTTTGGGGAAACGAAACGTCATGTCTCTGATCGTGTCCGCGAGCACAAGTCAGATCTGAAACACGGCAAAATTGAGTCTTCCGCCATTGCCGATCATTGCTACAACGCTGTGGGCTCTCATGATATTGTCTTTTCAGAGACTAAGGTGCTCTGCAAACCTTCTGGCTACCATTAAAGGTTTGTACATGAAGCCATTCAAATATACAAACACAGACATAACTTCAACCGTGACCATGGGTACAAACTGAGTAATCATTGGAAAGATGTTATTAACCATGTAAAAAAGATTTAACTATGCATATTTGGACTATATTATTTGACAGGTACCATTCTACTTTACCGAGTATTGACATCCCCAGCGTTTAACAGTACTGCCTATTTTGTATTTGGATTGTCAGCCAACACCGGTTACAACCCCAAGTGCACCTATTGTTTTCTTTTAGCCCCGCCCACCCCCCAACACGTTCCATTCATTGGCTACAACATTCAGATAAGCCCCTCCCCCCCTCCCCCTTAACTTGTATTTAAGAGCTTGTCTCTTGGAATTTTGCCTCACTTGATACAGTAAATGTAGCTGTGACGGTCCCACCTGATAACGGAGACTTGTGTTGCCTCCAAAACGTCGTGATTTATTATTTTATTTCTATTATTATTTCTATTATTTTTATTATTTATTTTTACCTACGTGACTTTACCGAAACAACCTAAGAGTATAATCTACACTGTTCACCTTTTGGCGTTCTTCTCTGGTCTGACACTGGTAGTGAGACAAGGCCCTAAATAAGGCTCATGTCTATGGTGTAGCCCAATGAGTTTCAAAGAGAATGCATCATATAACACCAGAGCAAGTTTGTTTGAATATGCACAAGTGTCGCGTGTGATTAACGCAGCCATGATTCCTTGCAAAAGGTTTCTATTTGGTGTTTTAACGTCTTAACAACTCCTGATTTATTGGCAGAAAGGGTAAAACCTATTCTTATTTTTGTTATACTTTGATACTGGCAAAAAATGTCTCCCATGTTATAATCTACTTCGTTAAGCTATCATTTGCAATAGCCAGGTCACTTCTGCCTAGAGGCCGACCGAAACTGAATTTCTAAGTTTCGGCCGAAACCGAAACCAGACCGAAAGTTAAAAATTTACTTTCGGCCGAAACCGAAAGTTTAACTACACTTTCAGCCGAAACCGAAAGTTTAACTACACTTTCGGTCGAAGCCGAAACCGAAAGTTTAACTACACTTTCGACCGATACCTAAACAGAAACGTATATAACCGAAGTTACCAAACACAAGATTTATGAAATGTCATGATGCAATGCTACTTTAATTAAAAAGAAATCTAGAACTAATCATTCAGAGCCTGCAGTAAGAGTTGCTAAATATCAAGTCTTTAGGTGTTACTTATTTTGTAATTATATCCCAACAAACGAATGTTGTAGATAAGAAACAACAGTTTTTCCGCATTCAGCCAGACAGGCTGCCGTCAGTTGACCGGTCGTATATACATCTGCAAACCATGGTTACGGCTGTGACTTCGCTTCCAAGCTGCTGCTGCTGCTGACGTGTGCGTGTTTGCAGCCTATCGCATAGGATTGCCTAGCACCGACTGACCGGCCGATAGGCAGAGTGATAGACGTAGCACTAGCGTAATATTCTAAAAATAGATCTTTGGTTGATGAATGATGACCGAAAGTCAGTATCAATTTCGGCCAAAACCGAAACCAGACCGAAAGTTAAAAATGTATTTTCGGCCGAAACCAAAAGTAAACCGAAAGTTAAAATTTGACTTTCGGCCAAAACCGAAAGTATGCCGAAAGAGGCCATTTGCCAACTTTCGGCGCCGAAACCGAAACCGAATTTCTGTTGGCCTCTACTTCTGACCCCGGCGCCTGTTGTATATTTGGAGTTAGCGTGCTCTCCCCGTAGTCATGTGGTTTTTTTCCTCAAGGTCCTCAGGTTTTTACCTCCACATTTAGAATCGACATCACGCGTTTAGAGTATTTGGCTGTCGCTATAATTGTCCACGCGATGATGTTGACGATATCAGCCACTTGATTGAGCTGCCATCACTTGTGATGGCCAGGTCGCTTCTTAAAAAGAACTACGTAGCTCAGTGGACCTTACAATGGTATAATCAATTCGTGACATTGATTTTAAACGTGGAGAGGAAAATCCGGAGGACGCAGAGAAAAATCTACGCTCCCACCATGGGGAAAGTGAGATACGCAACTCCAAATATACAGCAGGCATCAGGGTCGGTATCGAACCCACGACCTCCTGAATCCCAGGCGAGTAGTTAACATCTCATAGCCACCCGTGATGTTTAGAGTATTTCAGAATCAGAACCCAAGACTTCCTACATACCGGGCGAGGTAGTAAACATCTCCTAGCCACCCGTGGGGTTCCTATTATGGGGTTCTGTGCTGGGCCGAGGTCAGAGGTAATCACCTGGAGAGTGCAGAGGTCGCGTGGAGGTCACCAGCCTTGGGTGATGTCACGCCACCCTCCGCTCGCTCGCTACAACCACAACAAGCACAGACAGACGTGCTCTAATAATAATGTATACGCAGTTGTCTTCGAAACTGATTACATTATCCAACAACTATTCCTCCGCGTATCTCTCACACGCTCTCCCCCACCCCGCTCTCTCTCCCCCTATCTCTCCCTATCTCTCGACCCCTTTCAGTCCCCCAAGTTCTGCGCCCCCTTCTCTCCCTCTTTCCCCCTTTGTCTCCCCATCGCTCACCCCCTATCTCTCCCCCTCTCTCTCACCTCTTCTCTCGGTGCCGTTTGTCTCTCTTTTTGCTACTCCTCTTCCTCTTCTTCTTGCCTATGGAGCTGCACACACAGAGACACACAGACACAGTTACACACAGACACACAGACATAGGGACACACAAAGACACACAACAACCGCCATTCGCCACTAAGTGGCAGTGACATCACCACGACGTTTGTGCCAGGCCATGTGCACCTTGAGGCCACTTGAAGTGTCGAGCGCCCGCTGGCAGGAGGTCACTGGGCAGACCCAGGTGCCAAAGGTCGACTGACTGAGATGACTGAGATGACTGATTGATGCACCACCTGTGCCTCCTACTGTGCCAACTTGCTGTGCTTTAGCCACCCGGCGCTCCGCTTGTTGTTGTGAGCGTCGCTCCTCCGCCCTCCGTTGTTGTTTGAGGGCGACTGCCTCTTAACTGCCCAGTAGCGTCCTTCACGAGCCTCCTCCATTGAGGCCGATCTTGACACCGCTGGTACCAGTCATCGACAAGTCCACTCAGCTCCACGTCTTCCTGTACCACATCACTCCATCTCTTCTCTAGCCCGTGCCGCGCCGAACAAAAGCTGTTTAGGCATGCGGTGGTTGGGCATGCAGGCTACATGACCCAGCCAACGCAGCCTTGCCCGCCGGAGGAGCTCACCGATGGGACTTTGCCCAGATCTTTCAAGGAATTGTGAGCTCCTAACACAATCCAGCCTGGTTAAACCCAGGATGGATCGTAGGCAGGCCAGCCTAAATGTTTCTCAACGGCGAAGATGCTCCATTAGAGGGGTCCACGTTTCGCAAGCGTAGAGAAGGGAGGGAATGACCATGGCCAAGAAGACTTGAAGCTTCATGCGGAGCGACAGACCAGGTATTTTCCACACAGCGTTATGCAACCGATGAAAAGATAATGCCGCTCGGCTGATTCAGAGTGAGACTTCTGTTAAACCGGAGCCGATCATGAGCACACTGCCCAGGTATGGGAAACTCTCCACTTACTCCACAACTGCTCCATCACCAATGGGGAGCAGAGGGGATGGAGTGTTTGGTGGGGCTGATGGTAAGACCCCACCTCTTAGTGGTACACTGCAGGTCCAGCAGCAGCGCCTCCAACTCCTCTGAGTAAGCAGCAATCACCAGATCATTAACATACGTAACATGGTTGATCAATAGGGAGTCATCCCTTGACCGCACCAGGGCATCGGTCAGCCTCCGTTTGTATCTGTACCAGATGAAAATTCTTCCGGTACAGCCATGGAAAGCTTCTCGAACAACGTAGTCGAAATAGATGTTATATAATGCGGGACATCCCTGTCGCACCCCAAGGTGAACAGGGAATGGCTCTGACTCCCGGCCACGTTGCTTTACCCGGGCCTGCCCACCATCATGAAGGTCCTTAATGATTGTGAACAGAGAGTCAGGGACTCTGAAAGCACGAAGAACAACCCAGAGCAGACAGACAGAAAATATGGGGTGTGTGCAGGACCGCTCTGGCCTGTAACCACATTGTGGCTCCACAAGCCTCTCCTCAGCGTGCCTGGCAAAGCAATGTTTAATAATCCTTGCCAGAACCTTTCCCGGCACACTGAGGAGGGAGATGCCCCTTTAGTTTTTAAGTCTGTACGGTCCGCCTTCTTAAAGGGGGGGGGGGGGGGGCGCCAGTGCATCCTTCCAATCCTGCAGAACCCATCCAGTGGTCCAGGCTGTTATTTTGATGTCATATGGGGCAGTCTGCTCACAAACGCCACCCTCATCTCTGCCCTGCATTTTCCTGGTCTCAGTCTCTGGATCACCTTCCGTACTTCCTCAACAGATGGTGCTTTAGCCAGCCACTCACAAGGTGTGACTATTTCTTCCAATATTTCATGCACAGCAGCCTCAGCAGGGTCATCCCCACTTTTCTCCATGATGTTTTCCAGGCTGAGCGATTTCCCCTCCCCAAGAGCTCACAGAAATGCTCAGAAAATTTGCAAACCTGTTCCTGGGGGTCGGAGATTGAATTACCTTTTTTTCTCCTAATGATGGTGATTCTTTTTTGATGGAGTTAAAGAGTGATCTATGATCAGGGGCTACTGAGACAGGCTCCATCTCCTCAGCAATGTGCGACCACCACTTTTCCTTGCAGCGCTGCACGGCTCTCCAAACGTCCGAGCCAAGGCTGTAGTAAGCCTCCTCATTCTCCGACATAGGATGCTGTAGACGGTGGGAATAGGCCTGTCGTTTTTTTCTCAGTCAGCCAGAACACCTCCTGCATCAGCCAGGGTCTCTGGTGAGGTTTGGCCAACGTACCCATAGCAGCCATTGCAGCTGCATGAGCCACAGTCTTAAACCTTACCCATTTCCTCTCCGCACGATGCCAACCCCAGCTGCAAGCGATGATGAAATTCTCGATTGCAACTTTCGTCAGCCAGCTGAGACCAGGCCACTGTGGATTTGAATAGGGTCCTGGATGTACACCCACCACTGGAGTCAAAGTATGGCAGGCGCATCTTACAGATGCCAAGCCGATAGTGAGTGGGCAGATCAGATCCACGGTAGGTCCTGGTATGAAGGACATGAGCCTGCATGTAGTCCTCAGAAGTTCTTGCTTGGACACGGCGTGCATCCATGATGGTGTGTGCATGCGCTGATGCTGGATCAGACTAATGTACAGTGCTTACTTGCGCCTCTAGCTCCCACGATGTTAGACTGTGGTTGTGTATGGAGCTGTAGTGTGGTGTGTGTGGAGTGTGTGTGATTGTGGTGTGGTTGTGTGGTGTGTAGTGTGTGGTTGTGGTGTGTGTGTAATTGTGGTGGCGCAGGGGTTGTGGTGTGTGTGTGTCTGTGTGATTGCTGTGTGTGTGTAGTCCGGCAAAACAACCTTATACTATGGGGACCTCATTTGCCAGTAAAAATATGATAATTGGTTCTTTACCCTTCTATCTGGCAACAAAACTGACACCTTTTTGCAAGGAGTCATGTTTGCATAGACCGCAATACCTGCAGTCATAAATACAAACAAAAGACATAACTCTGATAATGTGCACTGTCCTTGAAGTTGATTGGTCCACACCCGAGACAGCTTTCCTTCGAGCCTAGTCTCATATGGGTTGGACCAGATGACGCCAAAAGGCGTACCTCCTCGCGGTGCCGGATGGGCACCGCGAGGAGGTAGCACTGTCCATTTGCCTCTCCCCTCATGGCGTCTGGGACCACCACAGTGGCTAAACGGGGGCTCTGGATGGGTACGAGGGGCTGGTAACCCCTCCACCTTCAATTAATTACCACAAAACTACGAATTAAACATAAATATGCAACTAATAAGCTTGTGCCGGAGGCCCCGGGGGGATAGGCGTCTATGACGTCTCCTGGCCAAACCCCAATTGGCGGAGCCAGGAGATTGAATCTTCACCCTCGGGGCTCCTCCAGAAACAACAAAAGCCACTACGGATGGCCACGTGGAATGTTCGAACGCTCACTGCGGAGGAGAGGCTGCCACTCCTTTGTCGGGAGCTGGACCAGTACCGCCTGGATCTCTGTGGCATTCAGGAAGTCCGGTGGACCGGTTCTTGCTCCTGCACCATGAGGGGTGGACAGTCCTCTACTCAGGGCAGGAGACTACCAAACAACAGGGTGTGGCTCTTCTTCTGAACAAAATAATGAAGGGGGCATGGGAGCGTGGCAGTGAGGTGTGGGAAGCTGTAAGCCCCAAGCTACTTTGGGCTCACCTTCCCATCAACCGGAGGCGAGGAGTGGTGGTCGTGGTTACTTATGCCCCCACCGAAGACGAATATCCGTGGAGGGATGCAGGAAAAGCCGATGAGTCAGATGCCTCTATGACCTCCTGTCACAGGTGCTGGCTAAAGTGGCCACTCGGGACAGAGTCATCTTGTTGGGTGACTTTAATGCCCGAGTTGGTCATGATGCTGGCACCTGGTCTGGAGTGATTGGAAGGCATGGGCCAGATCAGCTCAATAACAATGGTAGGAGGCTGCTAGATTTTTGTGCAGTCCATGGGCTTGTAATTACCAACACACTCTTTCGGCATCGGCGCATCCACACAACATCATGGATGCATGCCGGGTCCAAGCAAAAACATCTGCTGGACTACATAGTGACGGACCAGCGGATGCGAGCCCATGTTCTTGACACCAGGACCTACCGTGGAGCTGATCTGCCCTCTGACCATCGACTAGTCATCTGTAAGATGCGCCTGCCATTCTTCCACTCCGGTGGTGGGTGTACACCCAGGACCCCATTCCAAAAGTGGCCTGGTCTCAGTTAGCTGATAAAAGTTGCAAGCGAGAATTTCATCATCGCTTGCAGCTGGGGTTGGCATCGCCCCCCACTCCTCCTGATGTCGAAGGTAAATGGGCGAGGTTTAGGACTGTGACTCATTCAGTTGCAATGGCTGCTTTGGGTACGCGGTCCAGACCTCCCCAGAAACCCTGGCTGACAGAGGAGGTGTTCAGGATAGTTGAGAAAAAGCGACAGGCCCACTCTCATCGGCTACAGCATCCCACGTCAGAGAATGAGGAGGCTTACCGCAGCCTTCGCTCGGAGGTTCGGAGAGCCGTGAGGCGCTGCAAGGATGGGTGGTGGTCGCGGGTTGCTGAGGAGATGGAGTCTGCCTCAGTGGCCTGCGATCACAAATCACTATTTAACTCCATCAAAAAAGTAACCTGCAGCGCCACACCTATTACCATCATTAGGGGAAAAAACGATGATCCAATCTCCGACCCGCAGGAACAGGTTTGCAGATTTTCTGAGCATTTCTGTGAGGTCCTGGGGGAGGGGAAATCCCTCAGCCAGAAAACATCATGGCATAAAGTGGGGATAACCCTGCTGAGGCTGCGGTGCCTAAAATATTGGAAGAGGTCACCCCCTGTGAGTGGCTGGCTGAGGTGCCATCTGTTGCGGAAGTACTGAAGGCGATCCGGAGTCTGAGACCAGGAAAGGCACCGGGCAGAGATGATCTTCCAAGCGAAATGCTGAGGGAGGGTGGCGTTTGTGCACAGACTGTCCTATATGACATCATAACAACAGTCTGGACCGCTGGACGAGTTCTGCAGGATTGGAAGGATGCCCTGGTGGTCTCCCTCTTTAAGAAGGGGGACCGCACAGACTGTAACAACTACAGAGGCATTTCACTCCTCAGTGTGCCGGGAAAGGTCCTGGCAAGGATTATTCAACATCGCCTTGCTAGGCACACTGAGGAGAGGCTTGCGGAGCCCCAATGCGGTTTCAGGAAAGGGCGGTCCTGCACAGATGACATTTTTTCTGTCCGTCTGCTACAGCAGAGGTGTCGGGAATTTCAACAAGACCTACATCTCTGCTTTATTGACCTGGTCAATGCCTATGATACCATCAGTAGGCCTGGGCTCTGGGTTGTTCTTTGTGCTTTCGGAGTCCTTGACCCTCTGCTCACGACCATTAAGGACCTTCATGATGGTGAGCGGGCTTGGGTTAAAACTACGTGGCCGGGAGTCAGAGCCTTTCCCTGTACACCTTGGGGTGCGACAGGGATGTCCTCTGGCTCCCACATTATTTAGCATCTATTTTGACCACCTATTTAGTGAAGCCTTCAATAGCTGTACTGGGTGAATTTCCATTTGGTACAGATATAATGGGAGGCTGATCGATGCCCGGGTGCGATGAAGGGATGGCTCCCTATTGGTCAACCATGTTATGTATGCCGATGATTTGGTAATAGCTGCTCATTCAGAGGAGGAGTTGGAGACGCTGCTGCTGAGACTGGAGCATGCCACTAAGAGGTGGGGCCTTACCATCAGCCCCACCAAAACTAAGCACCTGCCTGGGTATTTTGTACCATCGGACACTCCAACCCCACAACTCCCAATCGGCGATGGGGCAGTTGTGGAGTTATTGGAGAGTTTCCCATACCTGGGCAGTGCTTATGACCGGCTCCAGTTTAACAGCAGAGATCTCACTCCGAATCAGTCGAGCGGCAATATCTTTTCATCGGTTGCATAATGCTGTGGGGAAGCTACCTGGTCTGTTGCTCCGCACGAAGCTTCAAGTGTTATCGGCCACAGTCATTCCCTCCCTTCTCTGCACTTGCGAAACGTGGACCCCCCTAATAGAGCATCTTCACTGGTTGGAAACATTTAGGCTGGCCTACTTACGATCTATCCTGGATTTAACCAGGCTGAATTGTGTGAGAAGCTCACAAATCCTTGATACATCTGGGCAAAGTCCCATCGGTGAGCTCCTCCGGCAGGCAAGGCTGTGTTGTGGCTGGGTCATGTAGCCTGCATGCCCAGCCACCACATTAGGAAACAGCTTTTGTTCGGCCGGATCGAGCGGGGCTAAACGGGCGCGGCACGGGCTAGAGAGGAGATGGAGTGATGTGGTACAGGAGGACATGGAGCTGAGTGGACTTGTCGATGACTGGTACCAGCGGTGTCAAGATCGGCCTCTGTGGAGGAGGCTCGTGAAGGACGCTACTGGGCAGTTGGAGGCAGTCGCCCTCCAGCAACAACGGAGGGCGGAGGAGCGATGCTCACAATAACGAGCGGAGCGCCGGGTGGCTAAAGCACAGCAAGTTGGCACAGTAGGGGGCACAGGTGGTGCATCAGCCAGTCATCTCAGTCAGTCGACCCCTGGCACCTGCTGGGTATGTCCCATAACATCCTGCAAGCGAGCCTTCAACACTTCACCTGGCTTTAAAGTGCACCTGGCCTTGCACAAGCGCCGTGGTGATGTCACGGCTACTTAGTGGCGAATGGCGGTTGTTGTTAGTGTGTGTGGTGGGGGGGCAGTCCAGGTCTTTCTCTCTCGAGGTGGGAAGAGGCTCTCACCGCCGCCTCCGGGCGCCCTTCCTGTGCCGTCTCCTGCCGCTTGGGTCGCTCCGCTCGCCCTGAGCCCCATTACAGGGGGGGCCCCGCGTCTCCGTGGCGACCGCCGCCCCCCTCCCACTGCTCTGCCTCTCCTCCCCATCCCCCTCCTCCCCTTCCCCCTCCCGTCCCTCCCCCTCCCCTCCGCTGCTCAAAGCCCGCACGGCATCTTCAGCCCTGCACGCGGGACGCACAGACACAGGAAATGTTATGTACCTCGCCTGGTGTGCAGGAGGTTCGTAGATTCTGAGGCAAAAATATTGTAAACGCCATCGTGGCTTCTTCTATCGTATGGCATTGTGAAAAGCAACAGTTTTTCTTTTTTCTTAATGATCTTCATAAATGAATGCAACGGTTCCTCATCCAGTCCAATGATGTGGTCGATGCAGTGTGGATTTCAGCGATACCGCCAAGATATGCATGGATGGAGCATTCATCGGTGATGTGCTTGAGTGTTTGGACTTCTCCACAGTCGCAGTTGGGCGATTCCTTGATCTTCCATTTATGGAACGTGTACACGCATCTGCTGAGTTGTGTTCGAGGGCGGTTCAGCGTGGTCCAAAGTCATCGTGGAAGAGAGAATCCCATAACTTCCACCGTCGGATCGTGAATTATGTTTTTGTTTGCCACGTCTTTATTTTTGGCTGCTAGAGCGCAGGCACGTATCCAGAACGGTTTCCTAGATTTTACCCTTGGATGTGGGAGTTCCTTTACATCTTTATAGAGCTGCAGGGTGAAGTTTTTCATTATCTTGCTATACTCCCGTGTCGTCGCATCATCACGTCGGATGTTGGCCGGAGCGATATCCGCCTGCACAGGAAGCCACGGGAGTGGAGTAGACTTTAGGGAACCGCTGATGATACGAAGCGCGTTGTTAATTTCGGCATCGACAAGGTTCGTGTGAGGGCTTGCACCCCACACTAGGTCACAGTACTCCGCAGTGGAGTGAACAAAGGCCTGCGTCGATATCTTCAACATGCTGGTACCGCTTCCCCAGGTTGTTCCTGCACGTTTCTGAATAATATTCACTCGTGCTTTCGTTTTACATTTAGCTTGTTTGAGGTGGTGATGGTAGTTAAGTGTCCGATCCAGAGTAACTCCTAAATACCGAGGGTGTTCATCGTGCCTTAGCTTCGCTCCGCAGAAGTTAATTTTCAACATTTTCGAAGCTTGTCTGTTGTTCAGGTGGAAGGCAGAGACGATGCTCTTCGATGGGCTTGGCTTAAGGTGTCAATTCTTGAAGTATTCTTCCAGAGTCTTCAGGTCATTTTCGAGGACTGCCTCAGTGTCCCCCATTTTCTGTGCTTGAGTTGCAAATGCAATATCATCCACATATGTGAACTTGCGGCAAGATGTCGCTGGAATGTCGCTCGCCTAGAGATTGAACAGCGCTGGTGTCAGAACTAATCCCTGCGGGAGTCCATTGTTCAATCTTCGTGGGCTGCTGGCAGCTTTACCAAGATAGACGGTGAACCATCGGTTTCTCAGCATCTCGGTGATTCGTCCAATTGTCGGGCAGCAAGACATGGCTCTCACAAGCTTCAGCAGGAGTGCTTTCCACCATATGGTATCGTAAACTGAAGAGAGGTCGATGAAAGCTGTTGCTGTTTTGAGCTGGCGCTCGAAACCGGTTTTGATGTGTCCTGTTCAGGCAAGCACCTCGTCGCAACAAATACGACCAGTTCTAAATCCTGTTTGTTCCTGGGGAACTACTTCCTCAAGCGTGGACATCAACCTTATGAGCAGAAGCCACTCCATTAGTTTGTAGATACTGATTAGGGAGATAAGGCGGTAATTTTGAGTATCCGATGCGTCCTTGCCTGGTTTCAAAATAGCTATTATCCTTGCCTCTTTCCACTCCTTTGGAATTATGCTTGTGGAATGGATGTCAGTTAATAATGTAGTTAGCCATTTTCTTGCTCTTGTTCCCAAGTTCTTTATGAATTCTGGATAAATATTGTCACGACCTGATGCGTTCCTGCATTTCAACTGGGCAATACCGGCATTTACTTCCTACACTGAGAATGGACGGGAGAATTCATAGATTTATTCGCAGTTATCTATTGTGCAATAAAGTTATTTGTAGACTTGCCGTCTTGTGCTTTTGTCGATTGAAGTTCGTGAATTGTTGATAAGTTGCCTAGCAATCTCGTCAGGACTGACTTGCGGAGATTAATAGGCTGGCGTTGTGGCAACTCCCATCAACCTCAGGAGGCGCCAGGCCTTACGGCAAAATTTTCCAAAGTTAAGTGCTTCAACTGTAAAGCGCCATCTTTCTTTTCTTTGCAAATTCAGTGACTCGAGTAAGGCTTTTGCAGTCTCCTGCTTCTTATCAGCATTGAATTTCTGGAAAAACTGTTCGCTTTCTGGAGTTCAACATGGAGTGAAGACCTTTCTGATGCCTCTTGCGATCTTGGCCTTGGCAACTTCCTAAATGAGACCAACGAAGCGACGGTAGTTGACTGCGCATGGAGGTATCATTCCAACTGTTCTTCCAAGTCCGCAGTTAAATTCACCCATTCAGCTGATCTCAGATTCCAAAATATAAATAGGACGTATAGCACTTTTTCCACTTCGCCGACTTGAAAATACCACGGTCTTTTGCGTCATAGAGCAAGTGCTGGTCTTCTGCTGCTGCCCATTATGACATTGTGAAATGCTCTCTGTGCTGTTGCTTTTCAGGCCGGGATACCTCTGTCGGGCATTTGGCCGTCTGTGTGATGACATTCGTTGTGCTTTCACACGTAGCAGGGAAGACCTTGAGCAGGTTGTCATCTTCTTCCCCGCCTGGTATGCAGGAGGTTCGTAGATACTGATGCAGAAATATTCTAAATTCCATGGTGGCTAGGAAATGTTAAGTCCCTCGCCTGGTATACATGAGGTCGTGGGTTCAATCCCGTCACCCTAACGACGCCTGTTGTATATTTGGAGTCTGCGTCTCTCTCTTTCTCTCTCTCACTGTGGATATGCTATCTACCTCTCCTGGTATACAGGAGGTCGTGGGTTCAATCCCATGACCATGACGATGCCTGCTGCTGTTGTGTATTTGGAGTCTGCATCACCGTGGTGGTCGCATGGATTTTTCTCCAGGTCCTCCGGTTTTTCCCTCCACATTTAGAATCGACGTCACGTGTTTAGAGTATTTGGCTGCAATAAATTCCCACGTGATGACGATATCAGCCACTTCCTTGAGCTATCATTTGTGGCAAGGTCGCTTCTGAAAAAGAGCAACATAGCTCAGTGGGCCTTGCCTGGTAAAATAAAAAGGAGTTTAATAGTTTTAAACAGGTAGCCCCCCCAGTGCTGTTAGGGGCAAGTGCTGTCAGTAGCGAGTAGCAGTGCCTATGAAGGCCGCCACTGTGGTACATGAGTGGGTGGGTGGCCAGCACCACCACGCCCGCCCGGCCGCCTTTGTCTCCCCAGTGCTGACGTTTAATACACACATTGCCCCAGGTACTCATTTCAGGCTGAGTCGACCTAGGGGAGGAGGCCTAGGGCCGACCGGTTTAGATAACCACTGCTGCCAACACTAAGTGGTGTTGGTGGTGGTGGTGGCTGTGAGCAGAAATTTAACTCAGATATCTGCTGGGTTCGAAGTAGTGCATTGCAGCGCTAACCACTGTACCACCGCTCCCTGCCGATACGTACAGAGACACACCCACGACTCCCCGTGTCACCGTGTATTCATGTCCCCATGTCTCCGTTTCACCCATGTCCCGATGTCCCCCTGTCCCAGTGTCTCCCTGTCCCCATGTCCCCATCTCTCCATGTCTCAATTTCCTTGTGTCTTCTTGTCCCCGTGTCTCTATGTCTCTGTGTCCCCGTGTCTCTCTCCCCGTGTCCCCGTGTGCCCATGTCCCCGTGTCTGACTGCCCCCATGTCTCTATTCCCGTGTCTATTTCCCGGTTTCTCACCGTCTCCGTTGCGACGCTTCGAGTTCCTTGTTCAGCAGAAGTCTCCTGAACGCAGACACCTTCAGTTCTATGTCCTCACGTCCACACCTGGGAGACACGGGGACACACAGGGAGATACACGGGGACACACAGAGACACCTTCACCTCTATGTCCTCACGGCCACACCTGGAACACACGGGGACAAACGCAGACACACACGTGCAGATACATAGCGACACCCAGAGACACACGGAGACATACGCGGGGACACACAGGGATACACCAAGACACACGGATACACACAGATACACACGGAGACACACGTATACACACGGAGACACGCGGAGACACACGGGGATACATGGAGACACGGGGGGACACGGGGTGATACGGGAACACAGTGGGACACATAGAGACACAAGGGGACATGTGGGGGGACTCACGCAGACACCTGGGGACACACGGTGACACACAGGGACACACGCTAACGCATATAGACACACAGGCACACAATGACACACATGTAGATACACAGAGACACACATGGGGAGGCACACGGAGGCATACGTGGGGACACGCTGAGACACACGGAGACACCACATGAAGACACATCGAGACACATCGAGACAAACGAGGGCATATGGAGACTGACAAGGACATGCAGAGACATACAAAGACACACGAAGACACACGGAGACACACGGGGACACACGGGAACACGTGGAGACACACGCAGAGAGACAGAGAAACACAGATGCACATCTGTGTAAGGACACAGGGTGACACACCGGGACAGGCGGATACACGTGTAATGTTCTTGTAGGGAGACAGAGTCTTCGTAGAGGCAACACGGTTTATTATACCAAACAGTTACACTTAACCCTAACACAAAGGGGTAATGGCCCCTTTCACCCACAACCTGGGGAGGTACAACCTCCGGGCTATCGTACCTACAACTCGGTCTACTCTGGCCCTCCGGCTGGCTAGACCTAGGGGAGGCTGACCCACCGCTGGCCCGGTGAGTCCCTGACCACTGGCCCGTCCAGACCTGGCCTTAGAAGGACATCAGGCCGAGGGAACCTCAGGGTCCTAACCTCTCGACCTCTCCACCGCACTGAGCCCCAGCCTTTAGAAGGACGTCGGCGGCTTGGGGTCCAGGGTCTTCTTCTTCTTCAGGCGGCTTCTGGCTTCGGCTTGAGACGGACTGACTCGCGCTCTCAGGGACCCGCCTTATATACTCTTTCTACCTGAGAGAAGGGGTTCCGGGGGATCGTAGCTTCCGCCATCCCCCTCCCCTCAGAGGGGTTCCAACCGCCATTGGCCCGACCGGTCCGGACCGGTTTCTACCCCTCCCCCTGGTTGTGGCACGTGTGTGTCAATCATGACCAACACACACGTGGGGACACACTCTCACACAGGAAGACACACGGAGACATACGGGGACGCACAGAGACACACGAAGACACAAGAAGACACACGGTGAAAAACGGGGACACAAGTTGAGTGACACACAGGGACACATGGATACCCACGGAGACACATGGGAATACACGGAGACACGGGGTGATACGGGGACACAGTGGGACACGTAGAGACACACGGGGACACGTGGGGGCACATGGTGGCACACGTGAACACGTGGTGACACATGGATACACAAGGAGACACGCGGGAACACATGGTGACACACCGAGACACACTGGGACAGACGGGGACACATAGAGTTTGTTGTCCTTCCCTGCACCTTAGCGCAGTAGGCCATTTACAGTGCAAAAAAGTTCAACATACATACACATACATGGGGACACAGGGAAACACCCGGGGGACCTCACCCTTCCTCCCACATCATCTCGGCCAACTCCGCACACTTTGTCTCCACACGTTGTCTCCTAGCTTCATTCTCGGCCAGGTCTCCGCCATCACCACGACCATCACCACCACCGTCATCGTCACCGCCATCATCATCCCCGCCGGCAGCTCCCCGGGAGCCAATCAGGCCATTGTGAGCCTCATCCTCCACCGGCGCTGCTCCGCCATCTCCACCAGTCGCGGTCTCTGGCCTGGTGCCGCCCCCGCTGTGGAGCCTGCCCTCGCCTGATCGCGACGCCAGGGGAGCAGCCACACGGTTCATGGAGACAGCCTGGGGACACGGGGTGGGGGGGTGGGGAGAGAGTTACAACAGGGACACGCAGTTAGACACGGAGTGAGACACGGGGACATAGACATGGGGGGTGGGGGGGTGAGACACCACGGGGCCACGCGGTTAGACATGGAAACAACACAGGGTGAGACACGGGGACATGCGGTTCATGGAAATAGCCTGGAGACACCATGGGAAGAGACACGGGGACACGTGGGTAGACACGGAGTGAGACACAGAGACATAGGTGTAACAGTATAGACAAATACTGTCGCCCTGGGGTGAAGCGGGGTGGCCGAGGTTACATGAGGTAAGGGGAGTGAGCAGTTATGGGGGGGAAATCCCCCAAACGCCCCATCTCCGGAAGCCAAGGTGCCACAGAGTCTGGCCTTGACCGGGGGTGCGGCACGAGTTGTCCAGTCAGGTCAAGCCGGATGGCTGTGGGGTGAGATGATTAATCGATGGGGCAGTGCGTGATTGGTGGAATGTGGGGGTCAACAAGAAGCTGGGAGTTATGAAATGATGTTGTGGGGTTCCGATTAGGGGGCACCTGCACGAGCCAATTACAGTTGTGGAAATCCCTACCAGTGTAAATTCGTTCTAAAGGCCGACCGAGATTGAAACCGAAACCAGACCGAAAGTTTAACTACATTTTCGACCAAGACCAAATCAGAAAGGTATATAACCGAAGTTACCAAACACAAGATTTATGAAATATGTCATGATGCAATGCTACTTAAATTAAAAATAAATCTAGATCTAATCATTCAGATTCTAGATTTGAAGCTTTCGTGACTGCAAGGATTCATATTCTTAGGTTTTTTCTGTAAAGTCACGTAGGTAAAACATTAAAATTAATGAAAGTAAAATAAAATAAAAATCACGACATTTCGGAGGCAACACAAGTCTGCGTCATCAGGTGGGACCGTCACAGCCAGATTTGCTGCATCAAGTGAGGCAATGATTCAAGATGTAATCCCTTAAAAGAAAGTTGAGGGGGGGGAGCTTATCAGAATGTGGTAGCCAATGAATGGAACGTATCGGGAGGGAGGGGGGCGGGGCTCAAAGGCGGCACGAAGTGCCACGTAGAACGCATCGGGACGGGGAGGGGGGCGGGGCCAAAAGAATGCACGACGTGGTACACGAGAGTCGGCGACGTGGACGTGGTTGTGCGCAAGCAACTACTGCTGCACACGCCAACGCATTGGACAGAGGGGGAGGGGAGGCCAAAAGAGAGTGTGGGGTGCAAGTGTACGTGGACATGTGTGTGTACAAGCACCTGTTGATACACATGATAGAAAAGAACGAAAATGCCCATGTTTATACCAGTGCTGGCTGAACAATGAAGAGAGTACTGTTAAACACTGGGGATGTTAACACTCGGTAAAGTAAAGTAAAATAGTGCCTGTCAGATAAGATGGTCCAAAAATGTGTAATTAAGTCTTTTTTGCGTGGTTGATAACATCTTTCCAATGATTACTAAGTTTGTACCCATCATCACGGTTGAAATTATGTCTGTTTGTATATTTATATGGCTTCGTGTACAAACCTTTGATGGTAGCCAGGTTTGTACACGAAGGTTTGTACACGAAGCTATACAAATATACAAACACAGACATAATTTCAACCGTGATGATGGGTACAAACTTAGTAATCATTGGAAAGATGTTATCAACCACGCAAAAAAGACTTAATTACACATTTTTGGACCATCTTATCTGACAGGCACTATTTTACTTTACTTTACCGAGTGTTAACATCCCCAGTGTTTAACAGTACTCTCTTCATTGTTCAGCCAGCACTGGTATAAACATGGGCATTTTCGTTCTTTTCTATCATGTGTATCAACAGGTGCTTGTACACACACATGTCCACGTACACTTGCACCCCACACTCTCTTTTGGCCTCCCCTCCCCCTCTCTGTCCAATGCGTTGGCGTGTGCAGCAGTAGTTGCTTGCGCACAACCACGTCCACGTCGCCGACTCTCGTGTACCACGTCGTCCATTCTTTTGGCCCCGCCCCCCTCCCCCTCCCGATGCGTTCTACGTGACACTTCGTGCCGCCTTTGAGCCCCGCCCCCCTCCCTCCCGATACGTTCCATTCATTGGCTACCACATTCTGATAAGCTCCCCCCCCCTCTCCTCCCCCCTCAACTTGCTTTTAAGGGATTACATCTTGAATCATTGCCTCACTTGATGCAGCAAATCTGGCTGTGACGGTTCCACCTGATGACGCAGACTTGTGTTGCCTCCGAAATGTCGTGATTTTTATTTTATTTTACTTTCATTAATTTTAATGTTTTACCTACGTGACTTTACCGAAAAAAACCTAAGAATATAATCATTCAGAGCCTGCATTAAGAGTCGCTAAATATAAAATCTTTTGGTGTTACATACTTAGTAATTATATCCAAACAAACGAATGTTGTAGATAAGAAACAACAGTTTTTCTGCATTCAGCCAGACAGGCTACCGTCTGTTGACCGGTCGTATATACATTAGCAGACCATGGTTGTGGCTGTCACCTCGCTCCCAAGCTGCTGCTGCTGACGTGTGTGTGTGTTTGCAGCCTATCTCATAGGATTGCCTAGCGCCGACTGACCAGCCGATAGGCAGAGTGATAGACGTAGCACGAGTGTTATATTCTAAAAATAGATCTTCGGTTGACGAATGACAGCCAAAAGTCAATATCAGTTTCGGCCAAAACCGAAACCAAACCGAAAGTAAAACATTTACTTTCGGCCGAAACCAAAAGTAAACCGAAAGTTACAAATTGACTTTCGGCCGAAATCAAAAGTATGCGAAAGAGGCCATTTGCCAACTTTCGGCGTCGAAACCGAAACCGAATTTCGGTCAGCCTCTAATTCGTACATCCGATAGTGTGCATACTTTTTTAAGTCTCGTCTTAAAACCACATCATATTCTTAATTCGGTTTATTATGTTTAGCTTCACTGTCTCTCTTGCCATTTCTGTATCCTCATTCTAACAAGGCGCCTTGAGACATCAGTGGAAGGCGCCTTTACAAACAAATGTAAGTCGTTGTTTTTGACAGCGGCTGTGAGGTCGGGACCAAATTTGTGCACAAAAGCGAGCGCTACCGCGTGTACGGAGGACACGGGTTGGTCGGCGTTTGCCGGGGCCGGGGGGGAGGGGATGCTGCTGTCATGCGGGCGGCTCGGTGGCCCACACTGTTGTTGCTGTGGGTCGTTGGAAGTGCTCCTGCTGTTGTTGCCGGCAGGCTGGCGCCCGGAGTTGCTCGTCCGTTGAGTCGTCCAGAGAGCGGTTGAGAGCAACCGAACAGGTCCAGCGACTGTCGCTGCATTGAGTCGCTCAGAGCGCGGTTGAGAGGAACCAACCAAGTCCAGAGACTGTTGCTGCATTGAGTCGCTCAGAGGGCTGCAAAGAGCAACCAACAAAGTCCAGAGACTGTCGCTGCGTTGAGTTGCTCAGAGCGCCGTTGAGAACAATCAACAAAGTCCAGAGACTGCCGCTGAGTTGAGTTGCTCAGAGCGCTGTTGAGAGCAACCAACAAAGTCCAGAGACTGTCGCTGCGTTGAGGTGCCCGGGGGGCTGCAGGGAGCAATCAACAAAATTCACAGACTCCCACTGCATTGAGTTGCTCAGAGCGCTGTTCAGAGCAACCAACAAAGTCTAGAGACTGTCACTGTGTTGAGTTGCTCAGAGCGCTTTTGAAAGCAACCAACCAAGTCCTTGGGCCAGACCAGATATCGGTACCACCCAATGTAGAAAAACTTCAATGGTGCTATTTTATTTGTTACACCAACAGAAGTAAAATAATACGTGATAACCTTTCCAAATGAGCAGCTGTTAAATTTTCCTCGCACTTATCGCAATCACGCCTATTTGCCCGGACGTTACAAATAAAACATTCCAACACCTATGCTGTTAATTAAGACAATGCATAATTTACAAAAAGAATGTGTGTCCCCAAGGCATGCATTTCATACATATTTTTTCATTTATTGTTCTTCAATTTCAGTGACTTAGTTAACTTTGGTATAGATTGGCGCTGTTTTCCGTCTGTTTTCCGTCTGTTTCTAGCAGCTTGTTTGCTCATTCTAGATTTGAAGTTTTCGTGACTGCAGGAATCCATACTCTTTGGTTCTTTCGGTAAAGTCACGTAAGTATAAAATAAAAATAATTGAATCACGACGTTTTCTGGCGCAACACAAGCGTCCGTCATCAGGTGGGACAACCACAGCAAGAAACAAGTGCTGAAGTGGGCAAAAAAAAGTGCTGCTTGTAACAAGAGGCTATATAGGTAAGAGAGGGGGGAGGAGCCAGGGAGGGGAGATAGAGAGAGTGGGGGTGTGGGGTAGGGGGAGTGGGGAGCTGCAAGCTCCGACACGAGCACGACAAAATGCCGGGGATGGGAAGTGAGCGGGGCTGGGGGTAGCAGGCTGAAGAAACTGGAGATGCGGATATGAAGGCAAACTATAAAGCGGTTAAGGTTTTACCTGTGTAATGCGGGTGTAAACGACCTTCCGGAAGTGACGTCATGGGGGGAGGAGTTACGTCACGTGGGGGACAGGGTTCAGGGTTATAAGGGGAGAAACCGGAAGCAGTAGGGGGTGATCGGAGACTGGGGAAAGTGTAAGGCCACGCAGGGCGGAGTGGGGAAGAGAGAGAGTGTGGCGAGATCGCCACACACACAGACCTCGAGGATCGGCACCGTCGGCCAGCGGTGACTGACCCCGGGGCTGGAGGAGCAGCGAGGAGGCTGCAGAGAGAGCAGCGGGTCTGCAAGGGTGGAGTTGAGCAGCGGGGGAGTCTGCACGACGAGACAGCAGCGGGTCAGCAAGGAGGGAGTGGGCTACGTGAGCGACAGCAGCCTGGGGGCTGCAGAGCGAAGAGTATATAGGAGAGTGCTGTGAAGTGGGCTACGTGAGCGATAGCAGCCTGGGGCTGCAGAGCGAAGAGTAAGGGGGAGTGCCGTGAGGGAAAAGAGATCGAACCCAAATAAAGGACACAGGACAGA